TGTTTTCTTGTGCTTTTTTTCAATGAAATTAATTAAAAAATAACTAAAATTTGAAAATATGCTGTTTTATTTTATGATTTATTTTTTAAGAATTCTTAGGATTTATAGGGTTGACCAAATTACGCTATGAAAAAGAAAAATCTCGATTTTTTGTGTTTCGGGAAAATGATCATATTTTTTGTTTGCGATGAGATAGAAGGTAGATATATTCGAGAAAAAGTTGCGCTAGGTTTTTATCTTTCCAACGGTTTATTTGGTTTCATGAAATTCGAAAAAAATACGAGTTTTAGAGTCATTTAAAAAAAAAGGTGACCAAATTACGCTATACTCCCCTACTAATATTACAAAAAGAAAATTAATTTAGATAAAATTTTTCATGCAAAAAAACTTGACGCTGCTAGACTTTTATACATGTATATGTGTACGAGCGAGTATTACAGGCGTTTGGATTAAAATTATGTATAAGATAAAAATTTCAATTTCTTGCATGCATTTTATGTTGCAAAAATGATTTAAATAAAAATTTGATTTAAATAGCTTATAACAAAAGTTTAAATTATTAATACATGCAATATAAAAACGATTATATGTAGAGTATTTTTAATATAAAGTATATAAATTTGATTGTATGTAAGAAGGCTCTACTATTGTAATTTTAATAATAAAACCTTATTTTTATTCGATGTACATTTAGATTAAATTTTTTATTATTTTTATTGTTTTTTATAATTTTATTATTACTTAAATTGTTTTATTGTTTTCCTTATTTCGTCTGGCAATGTCAATTTTTTTACATAAAAAATTTTATTTAAATTAATTTTTTTCTTTTTGTACTGTTGTTACCTTTTTAATTTTTTGTGGTGAAATCTTTTATTCCATAGAAATATTAATCACAGTGTCCTTTAGTAATGCATATCACTTGGGTCGAGTAAGTTAACGCAATTTTTATAATATTTTTATTTAAAGACAGTACCACTGGATTTTACTTTTTAATTGGATACAACAGTTTTATAAAGTTACATAACTTAGATTTTATTACTTCTTTTTAAATTAAATAGTACTACTGGGTTTAATTTTTCAAACGAATACAAGACGGGGAATTGAGATGTCTCGAATATTCAGGCAATTTTTGGCCGTCAGATGAATTTCAGAAACGCTATAAGGGTGACATTTAAAACAGGAAGCAGCTGGTGATTTGGCTTCACCCTTTTCTTACGAATACGCAGCGCAGTTTCAAAAGTGCATACGAGAATGAAGTAAGGAGACTCTTGTGTTACAATACGGACCCCCCCTCCCCCTCCCCCAACGCCAGTTGCCGTCATCCACCGCGTCCGACGTTACCTTTCTCCACGGTTTCGCGACTCTTCAAACCCTCCGCATGGCCTCTTGTCACACACTTGTTTACTCCCGTCCTCCCTTAAGGCTTCACTTAGGGATGGGGTTACCACTCGTTACGTCTGCTTCTCGAGGAGGGCACTTTTTTTTATGCATGCAGCACGTAACGCACGGTGCGCACACCAAACGGAAAATTGAAGCTCCCCTCGAGCTCGACGAAATTATTCAATGCAAGTAATGCAAGTCGCTTTTTCGCATGTATCTATGTAGAAAAAGGGCCCTCTCGCTTTCGCTGTCTTACGTCTGCTTTTCCACGCGTCTTACGCAGAGCGTTAAACTAAACGTCAGATTATTCCCTAATTAGTTTAATTCGCAACCTCTTACATTAATCACAATTATCCCCCCCAATTCTCATGTAATATTATTCCTGAAATAGTCATTGTAATACACGTGTAATATTATTCCTGAATTATTCCTGAAATACTCATGTAATATTCTTCATATTCCATGAATATTTCGAAGAATATTTAGCGTCAGTCAGAATCACTTTTTCAGTTTGCTACCGACGGTCCGTTGAGTGAAATGTCAAAATCTCCGATTTATCATTATGTACGCCTCTGCCTTTCCCGTTCTCAAATCTCTCGGCTTTCCAAGATTTGCATGATGGACGCGACTTTGGTTTCGTGCAACTGCTTAATCTTCACCGAGACGACGGCTTCCGAATCCGGCATTCAGCAAGCCGTACGTGCATTCACCGGTAACGCGAATCCGATGCTTTTTAAATAACGTTCATCGCCACCAGTCTCGCCGACTGTGAGGCGTACGGGCGCGCGCGTCAGTGTCTTTTGTGCGCGCAAGCGTCCGCGCCGAAGGGGGTTTGGCGATGCTCCAAACACGCGGGGAGGCCCCGGCGTTTCTTTACTACACCGCCGCGCGCCGCCGCGCCGGTCGGGCTGTTTTCTCTGGAAACAGAAAGACATCCGTCTCTTCGCTCATTGTCGCAACGGCGAAACGCTTTGGGATACCAACAACGCGGCCCGGCTACCACCGGACATAGGTTACTGGTTTACGAATCCCTTTATGACAGTGTCTGAATGCGCGGGCACAAACGACCGGTCTTCCCTTCGTTGCGCTGAAAACGACCGTTCGTTCCTTCTGTTGTCTCGTCGAACGACAGTTCGCGATCGGCACGATTGACAATCGTGTACACAGGCTCAGAGAATTCCCATTGTGATTCACCGACGTACCTTAGCACACGACTTTCGCAATCGAAGAGCCTTTGATAATTTAGATTTACAGAGTAATAATATATTCTAGAGAAACTACTATAAAAATGTATGTCTATTGTCTTATAATAAATGGACAGAATGAACTAAAACATTGCCCTGCAAAAGAAACCCGTCATTTTAGCTCTATAAAAAAAGTATGTATATACATTTATAAAATAAATTGTATTATACAGTCGAACCTTGATAACTCGAATCTCAAGGGACCAGAAAAACTATTCAAGTTATAGAGATCAGTTATTTTGGACTTATCAAAATTCGAGTAAGAGGGTTAACATATGAAAATTCGACTTACGGAGATTTTACGAGTTTATAATTTTCCGATTATAATGGCTTTTAGAAAAAAAAATCAATAATTAACAGAATTATTTGCATATGATAAATGTAATTATAAAACAAAATACCAGGCTCACAAATTACTTACAGTTACACATAACTACAACTTCGAATTATAAAGGTAGCAACAATGGAAGTTCAACTTATAGAGGTAAACTTCGACTTGTAAAGGTCTGCAGGCTACTTTAAATTCGAATTACAGAGGTAAAATATATATCTAAATGCCTGACAAATAATTCGAATTAAGGTAGATTTTATTTCGATTTATAGAGGTTTTTCATAGCGGAGTGGAAAGGGATGAACAAAATTTTTGTCTTATAGGTTTTCGAGTTGTAACACGGCGCTTGCACACTTGCGTAAAAAAATAGATACTCAAGGTCTTATATATACATATACAAGAAATAACACAAGCGTAATAATACAACAGCTAAAGAGGTCAACGCAAAAACGAACGATGGTCAACGGGTTGATACAAAATCACAGCAGAAAATTAAGAAGAATAACAGTAAATATTGCGAATATTAATGTATCATCTTCTAAGTCACTTATATACATTTAGGTATGTTATCGATATTTAAAAATTCAAATGCATCAATAATTAGATATTTATACTTGTTTATTATAATAATTAAACGAACCTTATTTTACGTACATATGATGTTATACCTTAATAGTTCATTTTATTGGCGCAATATTGACTCGCATGCAAATACATTTAATCAATGTATTGCCAATGAATTGTGCTATTAGGTTATTAGAGAGATACATTAAGATATTTCTGATATTAGATATATTGTAGCTGTTTGGGATAAATATCATGTTTTAATCAAATTTATGTCAACATTAGGCAAATCGAATGTACTGATCTACCTGTCTAAATATATCGTTGACAAAAAGTATCATATTCGAGAAATTGGTGAAGGGAAGAATTGCATTTTGGGATTCAAATTTTCAAGTATTTCCGCTTGGTCAATCGATTTTTCAAATATTCAGGTAAGGAGAATCCAAATATGATAATTAAATGATAAACGCACAATTGAGATATAATTTTATAATACTAACTATGCTTTCCTGCGTTTCTTATTTTCTTAATCACTTTATATGTATGTGTAGAATTAATCGTATCAAGGATAATAAGGACAACAAAGGCATAGATTCTGTAGAAATTTAAAAAAAACCGCAATGTATCAAGCATTATTAAGAATTGTAATTATGACTCTGATCTTTTTTCACGTAGACTGGAATATATAATAATCTTCCTTCGACCAGTAACTACGCATCGTTATGCAATATAAAGCGATTTTACCAATTTTTTTACACAAGTATATAATTTAATAATTATTTTATTAATTGTACTTATTAATTATCTTAGCATAAACTACTATTTGAATTTTTTTATATAGATGTATCTATTCTTTAACATATCTTATGTAAAAAATATTATAACTGCAAGTATATATTTAAATAATATAATATTCAAATTATTTAGAATAATTAATATACTCTCAATATTCAATCAAATTTAAGAAAGATCAAGTTATCTAGATAATTTGAATACATAACAAAAAACGTAAAACAGAATTTGTCTTTTGTTTTCATGTTACTTTGTGTTTTAACTATCCAGTATAAGAAACATAAAATTATAAAGCATAATACAATTATTTTATATATATATACGATAAAAAGATTTTGGAGATAACTCATATTCTCAATGAATTAATGTGAATTTCTTAACATGAGTTTCATAATTGACGAAGATTTTAATCTATTTATATATTGTTATGTAAAATTAGTTATTATGAAATTTGTGTAGAAATAATTAAAAAATTTACTTATTTATACATGTTATTAATATTTTTAGCTATGTATATATTTAATTATAATAATATATATATTTATACATGTTATTAATATTTTTAGCTATGTATATACTTAATTATAATAATATATATATTTAATTATTTACAAGTAGTATAATAATATGTATAATTATGATAAATTCAACCGTGCCACTTTATTACTCTTGATTAGAGTATAGATGTAAAATCTGCCTTTCAAAAATCTTAAATAGCAATATGAATCGAGTAACACGTCATTTTCAAAGATCTTTTAATTTTTTTACAACTTTGTCTTGTGTTTTAACCTTAGATTATCATTCCGGGATACAACATGCTCAATATCACAATTTAGTCATTTCTAAATTATATTTCTTGGAATATTTCAAAACTTAAATATATTACTAAAATATTTTTTATATGATTCTTGTTTATTTGTCTTTATCAGACTCTGAGGTATCAATCGGTACCTCATATCTGAGATTTCACACTTGTTGAGCTAAAAAATATGGTTTCAATTCAGAAATATAGCGTGACAAAGTTTATAGAGCGGGGAAAGTAGCCAAAAATAACAATGGTAACTTACGATTAAATTTAGACAAGCATTTTTCGAGAAAATGCATTCAAAAGTCCTAGGTAATAAAAACTGAAAATTCGCAATTTACAAAAAACCGACTTCAATAAATATTCGAAATGACTTTCATCAACGTTATAGTGACGTTACAATTTCTTTTTGCTTGTGAATTTATAATAACAATGACTTTGTTCAAAATTGTCGCAGACATTTTATTACATTTCTCTTATTTTCATCCACTATTTTGATTAATAATGTTATAATAATTATTTAATGCATCTTTTCAATAAATAATCATATTCATTCTCGTTGACTATATCACCGTAAGAGAAAGAAAGGATAATAAATAATTAATTTTACACAAATAAATATTAAGATAATAGTTACTGCTTGTCTATTATTGACAATCTAATCTAATGCCTACATTTTGTATCCGAACTATTAATTGCAATCAATACTTTCTATTGAATTTTTTTACGCATAGCGCTCATAATTATTGCGAAAAAAAAAGAGAGTTAAGCATCAACACTATAATTTTCTAACTGACAAGAATCTTTAATCATAAATATATATGTACTTTTCATTCTTGATAACGACACATTTCTTGAATAAATTTTTCATCGCTCATCTTAAATTTTTTTCAACTCGTTGTCTGCGTACCATATCATTGTAAAAGAAAAGAGTATGTTAATAGATGATTTAATTATACGCAAATGATATTAAAATAATAATTATCAATTATTCATCCAATGCTCATTTATTAACAAACTAATTTTGATCGTAATCGAGCCGATCCAAAGTTTATTAACATGCGATTGATATTTATTCTCAAATTTTATTTTATGTTCAACCGATTCGGCTATTAACTCGCTGCAGTTATCCTGTTGTGTGGCGCGCATAATTGATGTGGAAAAATATGGGAGATGAATCTGCGTTAGAGACGGTCGCATCGTCGAGCCGTGATTATTTCCTTGCGTACACACCGTGTTATTTGACTGTATCCCAACAGCCAGGTTCCCTCCTTATTGGTTCCCCCCCTCCTCCTCGAAGCGCAAGGGCTCCATGAATCGGTAATTAATGCACTTGCCAACGGGTAATTAGCAACGACACCATGTCGAGTACTTTCTGAAATATGTATCATATACACCGTGCCATTAAGGCACTTTGATCGACGCGGCGGGTGAACGAACCGCGCCGGAGGATATATGTATACCGCCCCGCGATCCCAACGCGAGCGTATCCATGTGCACGGAAGACGTCGCGCGTCGGCCTGTAATCGAATTAGATAAATATCTGAACGCGCACCCCCGTCGGCGGAAGCTTATTATGACGGAAGTTCGAATGGCAACCACCTCGCGTCGTGACTCGACGGACGGTAGATCCTATGGGATCCCCGGCGCTCGTGATGTTATCGATGGCGAAGGTGTTGCTGTTGTTATTGTTGGAAACTGATGGCAAATCGATATCAGTCGCGAGGCTAATCCTCGCTCTTTACTCGGAATTTGTATTACATTTATATCTCTCCAAATGAAAAAGAAATAATCACACGGGAAGAATGGTTTTGCCTACACCGAGAGAAAAATATAGTTGGAATAGCCATAATGTAACTATAATTTATAGTGAATTTCGGAGACAACTATAAAATTATAATTAATTTAATCATGCAAATTATAGCTGCTTTAACAAATTAGCATTATGGTTATACATTATGATTGATATTATTATTTTTTTGTTTTTACTTATTTTATTTTTTAGTTGTTATTACAATGTAAATAGTAAGCAAATGTTAAGAAAATAGTCATTAGAAAAATGATCATTTTTGCATCAATGTTGAATAACTCGGTGAAAAAAAATCGCACAATGCTGATCGGGTGCTCAAATTAAAGCTAAAGATTCACGCTTTCGAACGATGTAAACCTTATTTGCGTGCGATTTTTATTTTACT